GTCTGTCTAGGGTTTGCGGAATTTTCTAGGGAAAGTAACAGAAATGGAAGAGAAGATCCATTATTGGAAAAACCGAAACGAAAAAAAAGATAGATTCAGAATATAATAGTAGAAAACTGTGACTAACTTTACAAGAATACCCCCAAGCCCATTCACGCCACGTAGCCCAATGCAAATACTTACCAACGTTATATTTTCTTACCACCGTGACAGGTAACTCTCTGAGTGAAAGAGAGGATTCTTAGGTAATAAAACAGGATATAAAATTGTATTCCTCTTCTCAACACTTTTTCACAACGTCTAGTGATTTTGACCCGGTTCAAGAGATGGATCAACCCGACCCGACAAATCCCTCCGGTCTAATCCTCTCCGCCACTGAATCGATTCGGTCGTTTCTCGACCTGGCCTCCGGTGATCTTCGTCTCTCCGACGAACTCAGAGGAATCGCTTCTGATCTGCGCTCGAGGAACACCGTTCCCTACAAATTGCTTCGCGCCATATGGGCCGGATCCGATCCCTCGACCAGACCGGATTTGTCGGGACTTTTCTCCGGCTCCGATTTCGTCTTCACCAGTCCCAAACCGAGGGAAAAGGTATGTGGAAAAAGCTCGTGTTCATATTCTTGTTCTGTTCCAGCATCAGGATCACTCAGGGATAAAATCCGGAGAAATTTGATCGAATTAGATTCCCTAATTTGCTGTAATGGTTTCCATAGAAAGGAGGTGATCTACGTGATACTCATGTCTGGTTCTTAGGACAATCCGGCAATAGAAGAGATTATCGTTTGGTAATTTAGAGGAATCCATGGAAGATGAGTTTTGGTTGGATTCAATTAAAATCCGAATATGCATTTCTTTTTGGTTAATGGGAATAGTTGAGGATAATCAAGGAAACTTCATTGCTGGTATGATGAATGTAGTTGAAGATGTTTGTGGTTTCATTTGTTTGTAGTTGAAGATGCTCACCAATCGCCATTTCTTTGTGAGTCTGTGTTTAATTTGATCTGATTTTGTTCTCGTGGTAGAGCGAAGAACTGAAACTGAGATTACTGAAGCTGAGAGAGATTGCAGAGAGGAAGGAGTATGCTGAGCTTGTTAAAGATATAACACCTAGGAAGCAAGTCGAAGAGCCTTTCTCGTCTTACAAAGACCAGCTCGGTTTTGGTAAAGCATTTCGCTCAGTTCTAGATAACTTTTCTTGGAGTCACTGAAGATTTTGTCTGTTTTTCTTGCACACTCGTTTTATAGGTTTACACGTTGGTCTTACCATGTTCACTGGATATTTGGTTGGATACGCTTCTTTCAGAGCTTTGTTCAACCGCAACCCCGCTCTGGTATGTTTTGTGTATCTCTTGTTTTGTCAAATTCTGGAAACCTGTAACTAATAAGTGGATTATTGATTCATGGGTATTTTTCTTTCTTTCAGAGTGCCGCTGGTGGGATTCTTGGACTAGTTTTGGCGATGCTTGTCGAAACGCTTCTCTTTATAATCAAAACGTCTAAAGATGATCAGGTTCAGAGCGCTAAATCATTCACTCCCACTACTAAGAAGAATCAATAGAACTTGTTCGCCTTCTTCTTGTTCCGGCTCTACTGAGAAAAGATAGAGATTTGTAGAGATTTAGCTTGGAGACTTATGTGATATTGATCGAATCCATCTATAACCCGATTTGGGAAAATTTTGTACACTAAAAGAATTTAAGTTTTGTAAAACAATTGTCAGTTTCTTTTTCCCTTGTATTTATAATCGATCCTATCTTTTTCTCTCGTTTGATGCCCCTAAAAGCATCGTTAGTGTCAGTTTATCTGCTTTTGAGAGCCTCATTACCTCTTGACTGTGTCCATTTTTCGAAAGTCACTTTATTTGAACCTTTTTCTCCATATATGCAGTTAAGGTTGTCTCTTTTAGATACAGATAGAAACCATTTTTCATTAAATATTTGTGGTTATGCTACTCTTATATATGTGAGTCTGTGACCACGACACATTGATAAGAGTTGTAAATAAGAAATATTTTGATTGAATATATTGCTCAAATTTTACTTCAACCCTATTATATTGAGCTCTCCAATGACATGGGTTCACATTTTGCCAACAAAAATTAACATTAAGTGTAGCTAACCACTAGTCTAAAAGTGTAGATCAACAATCATTCTTCCTCTCAGTTGCGTGCGGGGGAGTTAGGTGCGATGCGTGCGCAGTTG